CCCCGGGCTTCCTGGAATCAGCCGCTGATCAGTTTCAGCAGCAGCTGACTTGGGGACGCCTGGGGTTCTTAAGTTGAATCTGTATGTAAGTCAGAACTGGCGGTCAGTTTCAGCAGCGGCTGAATCTGGATGCCAGTTCCGACTTACATACAGATTCAACTTAAGAACAAACCTACAGTCCCTATCTTGTACGTAACCCGGGGACTGCCTGTACTCTGTATTGAATATAATCCTACCTCTGTTAAGGATTTGGTTGTGCCAAGAAAATGGGATATGCCTATAAACCCGGGGACTGCCTGTACTCTGTATTGAATATAATCCTACCTCTGTTAAGGATTTGGTTGTGCCAAGAAAATGGGATATGCCTATAATGGGATTGCGTCTCATACAACCATACAGAAAAGAGACAGAATCACCAGGAAGGTGAAAGGAGTTGGCTGGGGCTGTGCGCCCCACCCTCCAGGACTGCGCCAACCCTGAGTCTCTCACCCCCCAGGTGCCCTTCAAGGAGGGGGAAGGGAAGTTGAAGCTTCCTTCACCCCAAATTTGTATGTGGGCACTGCTGGCTGTTCTCCTTTGTCAAGGAGTGAGAAGAAAGTGCAGTTTGTTGTAGGGATGTGAAGGTTTAAGCCTTAACAGATGAGGTTTACGGGTTAAGGTTAACTGGTGGAGCTGCAGCAGCTCCTTGCAGGCCCCAGCCAGGGCAGTCTCTGTTCGTGGTGGGCCTGGGGTAACCTTCATTTCCAACCAGAACACTGGAGCAGCCCCTGCCTGTGGTGGGAAGAGGGAGTGGGTTCCCAGCCTAGCGTCAGCTGGTCTGGAGCATCCCCCCACTTTCCCCTCTTTAATCGATTAAACGATGTGTTTATCTGGTTAGCCAATTAATCGGGATTTTACATGCCTTTGTTTGCTGCATTCCTTACTCTGGCTGGGGAGTACAGGAGGCAGATGAATCTGTGTCTCCCGCAGCCAGGGGACATGCACCCCTCCCCTTGGCTGTGCCTCTGGAGAAGCTATGGAGGGGTGCTTCTCACCTAGCCCCAAGCTGCTGAGGTAAGAGGAGGCGCGGTAGTCCACTCTTCCCTGACCAGCCTCCTCATCCCCAGAGCAATGATTTAAATGACACATGTACAATTTTATTTTCCAAAACCGTGTGCGCGCGCGTGTGTGTAATTTCATCTGCCACTTTTTGCTCAGTCACCCATTTTTGTGAGATCCTTCTGAAACTCTTCAGTCAGATTTGGACTGAATAATTTTGTATTGTCAGCTAACTTTAATACTTCACTGTTCACTCCCTTCTCCATACTGCTCTAGGTGTTAGCACGAGATTCTGCCAATGGCATAGCATAAAGGGGAATTGAGCTCAACAGTGGCAATGTTAAGCAGTGTGGCATCAGTTCTCTCTCTTACACAAATATTTGCTGCAGGACACACTCTGCTATGGTTGCAGCACACCAATCTGCCTCTAAATTAGAAACAGACCTCACACACAGGTTTTAACATTTCCAATGTCAGTACATTTAGCCAACTATAACGGTAACATGCTTAGAGCCAGCATGAAAGATATCTCACACAATATGGGTCAATTGGGATAATTTAATTATGTTGATTAAGTCATTAGAAGTTGTCCCTCTTCTCAAAGAAATCTAGTTACAGCTATTACAGATGTCTTAAAGATACATGTATTAAAAATAAATCAGTAGATATTCTGTCAGTATCCAAAAGCAAAAATGTACCACAAGAAATCCTACATACTTTGTGGTTTACATTTATGTGCTACTATAGTTTGCATTTATGTGCTACTATAGTTTGCATTCCTGGAATGGTGCTCCCTTAGAGAGGGTTAATGAAAGATTCATTTTAGTATCTTTCAGATAATGAGAGAAAATATTTCAATGAAAACAGTGTAAATATTGGAAAATATGAGTTAAACAGCAAACACTTAATCTTCTTGATAATACAGTAACAATAAGGCTGTGTCTACACTGCAACTTTTTGCAGCAGAAAATATGCTAGTGAGGGGATTCATTAGCGTGTGTCGCGATGTCATTAGCATATTTTCTGCCAATTCTTTTTGCACAAGGGGTTTTGCGCAAAAAGAAGCAATGTAGCTGCTTCCGTTTTGCACAAAAAAAACCCTTTTGTGTAAGATCCTTATGTCTCTCCGGGCATGAGGATCTTGCACAAAAGGGGTTTTTTTTTTGGTGCAAAACGGAAGCAGCTACACTGCTTCTTTTTGCGCAAAAACCCCTTGTCCAAAAAGAACTGGCAGAAAATATGCTAATGACATTGCAACTCATGCTAATGAATCCCCTCACTAGCATATTTTCTGCCACAAAAAGTTGCAGTGTAGACACCGCCTAAGGATATAATCTATCTTCTTGAACATTAGTAATAAAAGGTTCAGGACAAAGTATATTATGAAATATCATCATGGATACAATATTATTTTCTGTCTCATTAGACATCTGCTAAATGAAAAATGACAAAGCTAACTCAAATATAATGACATTTGTTATGCTAATTGCTGTAGTATGCTTTATACTGTTGTGGCAAAGTCAGGCCAGAAGGCTGCAATGAAGTGGGAAAAGGCAGTCCTAGAGTGGTAAAAGGTCCAATCCCCCCATTAAACAGAAGTCAGTTACTGCAGGTCAATCAGGATCAGCTTACAAGAGGTTGTTTCAAGCAGAGTAGGAATAGCTGAGACAGGGCTACCTTGGATCAATTAGGGTCAGGTGACTGCACTCCAGGCCTGCCTGAGACCTTTTTAAAGCTTCAGGAGGAGAGGTTGGGCTCCCTATGCCAGAGGAAGGCCACAAGCCTAACCTTCTGCTGAGGGTGAGGCCCATCTTGCCAAGAGGAAGGAGTGCAGAGTCTGGCAAGGGAAAGAAGGGCCCTTGCCACAAAGTCTATTAAACTAATTTGCATACTTCCATAAATATACACCATGTTTAATACTCACAGGGCCCTGTTTTTGCAAACCATTACAGTACTTGTGATCATCGCCACAGACAAACTATTCCCAGGGGATTCCTCATCTAATTGGACCCACAGATAATACAAGTTTGTTGCGCCTAAGGAGTATAATGATCAAACATCTTGGCTGTGTCTACACTGGCATGAATTTCCAGAAATGCTTAAAAAAGAATAGTTTTCATTATAAGTATTTCTGGAAAAAGAGCGTCTACATTGGTAGGCTGCTTTTCCGGAAAAGCCCTTTTTCTGGAAAAGCATCTGTGGCCAATGTAGACACGCTTTTCCGGAAAAGACTACTGGGCTGTCTACACTGGCCCTTTTCCGGAACAGTGTTCCGGAATAAGGACTTATGCCCGAGCAGGAGCAGCGTAGCTTTTCCGGAATTGTGGCTGATTTTGTACAGTAGAGCGTCGCAGGAGCAGAATAGTTTTTCCAGAATAGCGGCTGATTTTGTACAGTAGAGCATCGTTGCTTTTCCGGAAATTCAAGGGCCAGTGTAGACAGCTCACAGCTTATTCCGGAAAAGCGGCTGATTTTCCGGAATAAGTGGCCCAGTGTAGACACAGCCCTTGTGTGTAGTTGCTGTTAACTATGATAGTAATTAATGTGTAAATACTACAGCACAATTACTAACTGAAAGTTACTTGAGTGGGAATGAAATGATATGAAGTATCAGCTACAAAATAACTGCAAATCAAACTCAGGTCCTGGCAGTTAATCCAAGTCTGAATAGTTCTTTTAAAGCTGTAACTCAGTTCATTACACTCTTTTAGTGAAAGGAGGAGTTCATTTTTAAAACAGATTGGCATTTTTGTCTATGGCCTCAATTTATATGGCAAATAAACAGCAAAACATATCAGTCTGCTTAAAACTACAGCTCATGTTCCATTCGGAAAAGCAGGAAGGAAATTGGTGTTATTGGAGATAAATTCAGCTACTTCACTGAAACCATGTGGATGACAATTACTTGAGTCATTACAAGGGCGGTCCAGAGAGCTGAAAAAACACTTGGTACCCTACCTGATCTGCTAGGTGGATCTCTTACTGGAGGAGGAGGCCGCTCATTTGGAGGGGGAGGAAGAGGGCCAGAACGACCTGTTCCAGGCAAGCTGGAAGCAGAAAGAGAACCTAGAGAGAGATTCCTTTGTGGAAGACGTGGCATGTCATCATTTCCACTTGAAATGGGTGGAACTGGAGGTAAGCCTGGCCTATTTGGAGGCAGGGGTGGAGCCTGAGAGAGATTAGATGGCCGAGGCGTGGAAGGAACAGGAGGTTTACTGTTCTGAGGTGGTGGAGATGGAAAAGTAGTTTCCCGACTGAGGAGCGGCCGATTTCCTGTTGGAGGCAGCGGCGGCGGCGGCGGCTTGTCATCTGTTGATTTGCCAGGAGCAGGAGGAAGGGGAGGTCTGTTAGAGAAAGAAGGTGAGGAACTTGGAGTCGATTGGCGAATAGATCCTCCAAATCCTGTATTTCTGTTTCCTGGGAAAGATGGAGGGATAGGCCCTGCGCTTGTTTGCCTGTTTACTCCTGGCACAGCAGGGGATGCTCTGTTATGCTGAGCGGATGGAATGGGTCTTGGAGTATTTGGAACAGGAGGAGGCCCTGTATCCAGTTTGGAACCAAAATCAGGTCTCGGAGGTGGCATTCGGTTTCTCTGTGGTTCAGGAGCGGTACTTCTTTGTCCCAAAGGGGACGGCCCCGGAAATCTGCCCACGGCACTTGGTGGTGAAAAAGGCTTGGCAGATGTTGTTCTTCCTCCTGGTGGCAGCATGGGAGGTCTGTTTCCTCCAGAATCTGGAAACACAAGAGAAAGAAATACTACTCCCATCGGGATAAAAAGCTGGGCAATAGCCAAGAGAAGGTAAAACACATTGTGAAAATGGGCCAAACCTTCAAGTCTTTAGTCAGATGCACTGGGAATTTTGTACTGGGCATAAGGACTGACTGAAGTCTGCAGGATTTGTCCCATAAGGATACTCAGTGGGTGATTTAAATTAATTATTTGTAGCAATGGTGCCAAAGTAGCCATTATGTTCAGTCACAGGAGGACCACATATAAAGGATACTCATGACAGATTAGAGCAGTGGTGTTCAATCTTTCCTGACTATTGTACCTCTTTCAGGAGTCTGATTTGTCTTTCATATCCCATATTTCACCTCACTTAAGAACTATTTGCTTACAAAATCGGATACAAAAAGACAACAGTTTCATAGCCCACTATTACTGAAAAATTGTTTTCTCTCTCATTTTTACCATATGATTATAAAATAAATCAACTGGAATATAAATATTGTAATTATTTTTCAGAGTATAGTACGTAGGGCAGTTTAAAAGAAGGGCAGATTAAAAGAAGTTTTAGTTTGTACTGACTTTGCTACTGCTTTTTATGTAGCCTGCTGTAAAACTAAACAAAATCTAGATGGTCCCCATGAAGACCTTTGCATACTCCCAAGATACTAGTCCACTGGACTAGAGCTATTATGGACCATTGCTAATGATATAATTGGATTTATTTTCAAGCTTTCCTGATGCATCCAACAACAGCAAGGAAGAAAGAAAATATCCTTGAAAAATCCGAGGAACAATAATTTTGGGTTTTCAACATGTGAGCAAAAACATCTGAACGGTCAATCAATATTTGTGCACTAAATAAATAAATAAATAAATAAATACAGACAGACAGACCGATAGATAGAAAAAATGCTTCCATTTCCCTCTCTCCCTTCTATTTTTATGGATTTGCTTGGGTTTCTCTGAAAAGGCAGTTTTGCAGTTGAAGGAACACTGGCCTATTATGCTGAGAATCTTGGATTAAGACAACTTCTAAACCTTGGATTAAGGCTAACATAGATAATGCCACCTCTGAAATACAGTGTTGTGTCAGCAAGTTAGATCTAGAATGAATAAAGGCAACTAATAGCCAGGGGTGGCACCGATTGCGCATTCCGCCTGGGGCGCCAGCTGCTGGCAGCCCACCTCGGGCTGCCCCTGCTAATAGCATCCTAAGTACACATTTAGGTGGAGCCATTACATCTCCTAAAGCCCAATCCTTAGTGCTGACTGTCAAACCCTCAGTTTTATAAGTCTTGCCTGGTGCTTTGTTCCATGGTGCACTCTTCAGCTCATTTGAAAACCTGTGCAATGCAGAAGTGTGTATGCCCAGCTAATGTATGACAATTTACACAACAGTCAGATGGGATATTCGCCACATACCTAAACAGGTACATTTTGCCCCTTTAGTGTGCTTTCCAGTCTAGGAGGTCTAGTTTTCCTAGGGCTTAAGGAAATTCTAGCTTGGGATCTTCTTGATGCTCCATTTTCAGGGTGCAGCAATGGACTGGATCTGGCCTTTATTACTTTACACAGAAAGTAGTCTCAATCCCTTGGATTTTTATTTCTCAGTAATAACTTTCAGGGAGAGTGGAGAAGGAAGGATTCTCACTTCTCTCCCTAAATATTGCTATATAAAACATAGCACTAAGGATGAAATAAACAAAGCCAAATTTAAGTCTGAAACTGCATTTCTTAACTCCCTTCCTTGTACCTAGTTACTCAAGGGATGGCCTTATTGGCTATAGAAACTGAAATTCAAAGGCACAAGAGTGAATACTGGTTTTCTTTTGAGTTTACTGTGTGGTTAGAGTTTAAAATTAGCCCCTTAAAATATTTTAGTTGTACTAGGTTTACATATGTTTGGAGGCCTTCCCTGAGCCAAAGAACTCTTGCTTATTTTATTACTCTTGTATGAATGTTTTTGTAAGTTTATCATTTAGATGGCTTTTAATATTGTCAATTGAATTAATAGATCTAGGAAATTTTCCTTACCAGTATCTC